TAACCTGGTGCAAGTTTACTGAAAGAGTCTGCTCTAGACTCCGGTTGTCTTCTGCTGAAGCTCAGACTCTGCCACAGAATCGGGAACCTGTGAAGCACTGTTTGACACGTCTGCCTCCATGACCCGACACTAAGAAACGGCATTACCTCCATGCACTGCACGTGCTCAAATGACGTGGAGCGTTGGTCGGCTGAAAAGGTTCCCTAAGCATCCAGAGGCATTGGGATGGTGGAATTGCCTCCCGTAAATCCGCTAAAGAGATAGCTTACTGCTCTTACCGCTGAATCGAAAATCATGCTTCTAGCAATGGCCTCAGAATATTGGGCTCATTAATGGTGGATACAAACTTTTCTTTCCTGCTTTCTTGCTCTTCATCCGTTTGCTATGCGTTTGTCAATTACGCGATAACGGTCTATCAGCAATCTTTCTAGGGAACGCTGACCGTCTAAGAAATTTGTCTGAAATCGCCCGTCTCGCTCTCTGCAACGATCTTTCTGCGGCGTGTAAGGTCCTAGAAACCCTGTCCCGGTCGGGCTGATTCTCTCCCGAGAGCTGTATCTTGCCCAAGGATAGTATACTCTTCGGAAACGCATGAAAACTTTGGTGTTTTGTCACAAAGATCTGCGCCCCCTGACACATTTATTTAGCCTTTGTATTACATGCCGATGTTTGTCTGTTGACACTATCATGTATTTTTTTCGTAGCTGTCTTTCGATCAACCAGACGCTGACATGGCTTCCGTATTGCCGGTGGTCGTCGCTTTGTTTACTCCGTTCCCGCCACTGTTGGCGTTGTTAGTCTATTGTGTGATGAAGTATCGTAAGAAAGTCCAACAGAAGTACATGGTGGTCGAGAAGAACATCAGCTACGTGAGCAATGACGGCTGCTTCGCGTCACTGAACGTCGCTGCCAGCTAGGGAAATGCTGGACGAACGAATGGATGTCGGTCGATCGTCGGTTTTCGTCTCGTCGTCGAGCATCATTGGTCACTACAAGGCTAAAAACACTGTTATAAAAGAAGCCAAATTTTTTTGTGCAGTTCACATTTTAACGCTTGTTGTTGGTGACAGTTTAAAGTAGTGTACTTTTGAGTGGTTCGTTTTGTATCGTTTTACTGCGACACCAGAGCTTGGTTGGTTTCAGGTAGGAGCTAAGTTCGAACTGTTTCGTTTGCTCGTTAGTTTGTTAACGAATTTCGACATGTGCTCTTTTTTGTACTTCGAAAACTTCGCTGTAAGTCTAAGGCAAAAGAACATTAAACTTTTCACCTTCAACTTGTTGCTCCTTTGGTATTTTTGGCGTCGCTGCCATAAAACCGTGGTCTAAAGGTATTCAAGCAGATCAGGGCTGTTCATTCCTCTTCATCCCTGAGGTTCAACCGAAACTGTCAGTTCGTGAAGTCATTCCCCGTCGTCTGACCTCTTTCATCTGCTTAACGGTGTAACAGACCAAAAAGTCGCGGTGAACTACCTGTTTCCCCGCCCCTCGTCGAGGTGGTTTTAGACCGATGGACAGACGTGCTACATAACTCCAGACTGTCGGTAACACTGACGGTCACTGTTCGCGTTAACACGCAATCAGTGACCATGTGTGTAGGTGTGGTGTTTGTAGCTGGTAGTTGATGATGCGGCGGTGGCGATTCATTCAATAGCCGGTGCATGGCAATCATGAATCACGATGGCTGTAGTAGTGCTTGGGCGGTGAGCTCAGGCGTGGGCAGCACGTGGTGCGATGAATAGACGCTCGGCGGCCAATCAGCGCTGTCGTAGTAAATTTATCGACTTCACGTAGTAATTCGTCGGTGCCAGTCGTCAGGACAATTTCTTTTTAACGCTGAGTCGCAATGTGACGACTGTCGACGATGAGGCGCGGTGGACTCAGATGAATGGGTTGGGTGCGCAGCGCGAAGCGTCCGACGGGAGTGATGCCTGAGTGGAATTGCGGGCGCCTCGCGAACAACACTACACCACAAACGACCACTATAAGCACTACCACTATCCCTACCCCCACCCGTGCCATTACCACCATCAATAGTAAACAGAGGACGAAAACAATCGCGGCAACAACGACGATTACGACCAAGGCTACGATGCCAATTGTG